TGAGACAATTAGGGGGTAGGATTTTCATTCCTTAGATGTCATTCTTATATCAATATTATGAAAATATATATCTGTGTTTTAAACATTCTTGACAGGTAGGTATTCTTTCTTTCAATTTTGAGTTGAGAATTCAAAGATGTAACAATGCAAACACTATACAAAATGGATCAAGACATGCTTAGTGATACAAAATAAATACAATACAAAATTATTTATAAATAATAATGATTTTTTTCTTATTTAGAAACATTTAGTTGTCATCCTTGAACAACAATTTCCCCACTAAGCTACACTACCAACACATCAATAAATAACTTTGTCTGTCATTGAACATAAATTCAGACTACTTATCTTGTAGTATTTAGCAGAATAAAGTAATATTTAAAACAAGAAAATTGATAATAAAAGAATACTTTGTTCTGGAAGTGTGTTTTTTATGAAAGACAAGTTAATATCATACACTTTGAAAGCCAAACCAGAAACAAAGCTGTATACAGGTCTTACAATTAGTGTTCTTCCCATCCAGTTGACAGGACAATCAATGAAAATCAACACAAAAACACTCAATATTTTATCTCAAGTTTTAACATTGTATTGAATGCTGATCGGCCACTGTACAGTCTTATCAAAAGCATAGCACAGTATTTACATACTCAAGACAACAGTTGAATAATGTTTACTTCTATAACCAACAACCAGAATTCCAGAAGGGATAGTGCTCAACTGGTTTAACTTGACCAGTCACAAGCACAATGAAATTGTCTCAGTCCCACATTCAAATATACATGATCCAATTGTTCTCAAATAAATGTCAAAAGCTATGAAATGTTCTGAATTTGGATTTTCAATATGGCCCACTTTGAACAAATCTGCAAAAGACATTGGTAGCTCCATGTCGCTTTAGCTTCATAATTCAAGTGGTTTTGGGTGAAGATTACTAGATTTGGTAGGGTAAGCAAAGTTTAAAGCTCAAACTTGGGTCAACAAACCGAAAGAAAGGCCAAACATATGTTCAGATTGATTATATATCTATTTGTAAACATATATACCTATAGTCCAACATTAGATTTTTAATATGGCTGCCATTGTTAGCCACTGACAATGAAACCAGGATCTGTGAGCAGCTGTTTGTGAGGTCATCAACTGGACCATCCATGTCATGATGCAGCTTCAGAGAGGAAGTCCATAATGTGTGGCTACAGGGGTAATGTAAGTTCAAGAGGTAACATGGTACAATTGGTGGTGGCCATTTTGAAAATTACATCCAAGCAATAAAAGTGAGTGAGTGAGTATGGTTTTACACCGATTTCAGCAATATTCCACCAATATCATGACAGGGGGCACCAGAAATGGGTTTCTAACGTTGTACACATGTGGGGTATCGAACCCTGGCCTTCAGCATTGCGAGCAGTGCTCCCCCGAGCAATTAGAGCAAAACAAACACACACTACGTGGGATCATACATGCAAAGTTTCAGGGAGTGGAAAACATGGAAATTGATGGACATACTGAAACACAGACACCATGCCAATGAATAAATCAGCTAGTCTTCGACCAGTTGTGGTAATAACCATCCTTTATTATGACAAATGGACACCCTGGATCCAATCACTACGACTGCATCACTGGAGCCCAATTCTAATGACACTGAACATAGCCATCCAATCACACTCCACTCCTGTGCTGGGGAAATGAGGTGCAGAGGTAGTGATAAGAGAGACTGAGATGGTGACATCACTTTTGAAATGAAGCGATGTCGGAAATGGATTCAGGGAACTGATCATAATATAATGTCCTGAATAAGTAAGGATGGGCAATAACTGACATATTGTGTATCACCTGATTCACCAAACCATCACATTTCTCGAAAGCCAGTGTTGACAAAATGAACTAAAAGTTTGTCTCAGAAGGTAATAACATGTCAGCTGCATTGTCACCAATGTTAGTGATAATCTACAATATGAAAGAGGTTGTATTGTATTGATAGTATTTGGCACCTTACTTCATCTAAGATCACCCTGAGTAGATGGAGTTCACACCATTTTCGATATTACATCAGGCTGTGACATAATGACACGAAGGTTCAACCATCCAGTGGTTGTGGACTTGCATCCATGATACATTTTCAGAATTACATCAGGCTGTGACGGAATGGAATTAGTGTGATTACTCCCGGGTCACCATTTTTGTTCAGATGGTGATACATCCAGTTACTATGCATACTGACCAGCCATTTTGCCCAACAGATCCCCAGTTTGATTCATTTAGGACAATAATAAGGATTGGGACATGTCATGCTTCGGAATCCCGAAATGGGATCTTAGGATACATACAGGGTACTAACTTCTTTATTTTATCTCCTTTTGCAGTGAAATATTAAGTTTATAAAAAGTCAAGATGAAACCATCTGTCCGGTGCAAAGAAGGGTATGACATCTACCCATACAGACAAGACTATCTACATATTGCACCTATGCTATCTGTACAGATAATGTTTAGAAAGAAGATAGTGTTGCCATTGTATCAAACGTGAGAAAATATTGTCATACCATATACATATTAAAAAGTATGAAGCTGCAAAATAGCTCTTTCTATGTACATTCCATGAACCTAATGACATTCAATAAAACAAATCTATTTGATCAAATTAATTTTATCATCCCCTCCTCTCAAACAATTTCAAACTTAAAGCATTTCTTTATTAATCACTAATTAAGGTGACGGGTTTACAGAAATGTAAGAATCTGTTGTCAAATCAGAAATAGAATACTGAAACTTATTTGTAAATAAATTCTTAAATTAATTTTTTGTAAGGTGACATATCTCAAAAACAAAAACAAAAACAAAGAAACCTTTTGGGGAGTGATAAGTCAAGGATTATTCACATGTTATATTGACCTTTGAATTGTTTTTCATTACTGAGACAAGATAGCAGTCTACTGGCGAGAGGTTTAAACTTTTGGATGAGTTCACTGAAGACTAGAGAGTTGGTCGGAATATGAAGGAGATCACAAACAACATGACCAAGTGGTGGCCTTGATCTGCTTCTGACCATGAAAATTAATGTAGGTCACTTTTAAATGAGAATCAAGAAAAAATGTTGACCAAACATCGAAGCATATTCAAAGCCTTACATGTGAGTTGCAATGATGCAAGCACACACATCAACAATGAGCTAACAATGTGCTCATATACAAATCTACACCCATCTCCCCTGTAACATAATTGACTATGACGCTCATGCATAATGACTTAACATTTCAATCACTGATAATATTTGCATTTAATCTGTCTTTGCTTACCTAATTCTAAGAGCACGAACTGGAGCAACAATATCTTAACTGGGTGATTAGCTGCTTGGTTACATAAACGTGATGACACTGATTCCTTGACAAAGAGTATTGACTTTTGAGCACATCAGTGTAATGGAATGCTTTCATTAGATTCATAAATAGACAGTCAGACTAACATAATCATAGTCCTACTCAAGGTCAATATTGTCAGTATACATTACCAATGTTTACCAATCATGCAAAAGATAGTTTATCATTTTACTTGTTTTATTAATTATTATTGTTTAAATTCAAACATTATTATGAACTATGATGAAACAATGACACAGCATAAGTCGAGAGATGCTAAAATTTATCCCATGTGGGGGTGGGGGTTGGTGGGAAGGGCATGAAAAAATGACAATTCTATTTTTTCAAAATTGTGTGTGTGTGTGTGTGAAAAAATGTTACCAAAAATAGGTGAGGTCAGCCAATTATAATACAGTCTTAAATATCAAATGACCAGTCCCTTATCAAGGGGACCCAATTCATGAATATGTTTCCTCTTATTCAGACTGTTTTTAAAGATGTTGGTTCCAGTTCAACTCAGTTGACAAAAACAGCCCAAACCTATCAATATTGTCATGATGTGAACTGCAGAGACAGGCAAAGTGAAACACAAAATAACCTACTTATGAAGGCTGTGTGACAACTTCTACATAAATAACATAACACTTGTTGTACACACACACACTTCCCTCATTACAATGAAATCAGGAACTGGAAACAACAGTGATAGAAGGCTACGTCCATGCAGAACTGACACTCCATCACAATCCTTCACTACTCCAGTCATTGTCATCGACATATGTACTAATTAACAACACAACATTTCAACCACTGAGCACGCATGAATTGGTCCCAATATTATCACAATCATTTATTACATTACATCTGTTATTAAAGTGGCACAAGATATAATCATCACTTCGTAGCAAAAATCTAAAAAATGGTTTTCATCATGACACAGGCCATTTAGAACATGTGGCTTAAATGATTATTTTGAGGGTAATCAATAATGTTTGGTTTGGTCTGGTACACAAATCCAGTTTAATATTGATTTTATACTTACAGATTGTCCGGATTTTAACAAAGAGTTATCTTTCCCTACTTAAACTATGCCACTATTGTTGCAAGTGAGTGTTCACCCCAAAAGCTTGGTGACATTATCATACTGAAAATAAGCTTCTAATGAGAAAACATTTATTTATTTTAATCGACAATCTGTTGCTGAAGGGATCATTGTGTTTCGGTATACAGAAATGTACCCAAATCAAAATCCAATCTCATTAAAATCAGATCTTAGTTCTCTCTACCACTAAACAAAGATCTGAGGACATCCCATTACGGGTCACGTCAGAACGACCTTTTTTGCGAATTTTGACCGACAAATGAAATGACTGACAAGAAATCGACATTAGCCAATTAGAAGGCAGCTTTCTCGAGCTTTACGACACTCGTTTCAAACTGGCGATTATGCTTCGAAACATATTTTGATGTATTCTCGATTAAAAAAATTAAAACTGATAAGAACATTCTGGAATGGCTTATAGATGGCCTAGATTGTATGGATATATTCATAAAACCCGTAACTGTCGTTCAGAATACCCCATGTTAAATATTTCGTGGTTGCATGATTAGAAAACACATTCTGACTGTCACTTTCCAAATCTGGTAAGCGACGCTCTGATTGGTTGGATGAAAGGTCATTTCTACGTGACCCTTAATGGGATGTCCGCAGATCTTTGTTTAGCAATAGCGAGAACTAAGATCTGATTTTAATGAGATTGATCAAAATCCTGACGACCCCTTTAACAAAACTGTGCAATCAAATGTATGCCCTTGTTATAAGTTGATATAATGTGCAGCAATAGTGAACATTTCATAACAGTGACACATTCATGTACATTTTGCAACAATACAAAAATATAACAGCAAAAATAAACCCAAGCTCCAAAGCCGTTGCAGCTGGAATAAGACATAAGAGCACTGTTGTCTGCAACCCTGACGTTGGTTTGATTGTATACACACATATCATTAATTGACATACATCAGCAAAGAAAAAAACCACCTCATTTTTTAATTTTACTTCCATACATGTACACATAACAAACCAACCTGACATTAACCTAGGTCTGAGAAACAATCCATTCCTCGGGTATAAATTAAAGCCAAGTTTAACAAACTCATTGACTGTCCTTTAATCAAGTACATCAGGATTTAGTTCCCAATAGCACAGCTTTATCACAGCATCCGGTAAACTGTGGTTGAACCTGGAGCAGGTCAACCCGTGGTCGATGGTGTGAACACCGACCAAGGACACTGATGCATCACTAAAACCCTCTGTCTTAATTGAAGTGTCAGCCATGACACCCATTCAACATTCAATTGCTTCTTGGAACAATGCTTTAACCCACAGGGTCTTTTGTAATGTCTTTTGCTGGAGGTAGATTGTTACCTCTCACTCAGGAAGAAATGAGTCAACTTGAACAATCCATCACCACAGCCCCAGTGTTGTGAACAGTTTGACATATTTCCACTGTTCTCCAGGTCAGTTTTGACTTAAACATATAATATAATATAATTTCAGATTTTGCATGACAATATTATGTCCTCTGAAAACATATGTTTCGGAAGAAAATTACAAGAAACATGGCTATCTCATATGGAAATTTATAACATGCGGTGCTAAACTTTTTTCCAGATGTATATAAATATAGGCCATTACTTCAACCCTAGAATTCTTTAATAAGTTAAATTCAAAGTTTGTTAATCAAGATGATTCCATTGGAAGGGTTCCATCCTGATTAATAGTTTTTTTCCTGCTTATTTGTAGTTATTTGTGATTAAATATATTCAAGTCGATTAACTAAGTGGTTGCAAGAAGTAATGTAGCACCTTCCAGTCAAGCAGAATCATTTTGACAATTCACAGTATAATCAAACAAGTGAATTCACAACAAACAGTTCCATCTAACCTGCTTTTGCATTACAGTGACTAGTACTAAGCAGTTATAAATTAATGTACATCTAGTAATCAACATGTCTGTATTGAGGATAGAAAATATTCTGTGGCACATACAAAATTAACTGAATGATAATATTTACAACATTATAGCAAGAATAGCTCCTTGAAGTGAGGTGATTGTACATGTGGCATCAAACATATATATAGCACATAGACATATAGCATATATATACCAGTCATATAGAAGCGTGTGGAATAGAATAAGAGGTTACATTGTACATGAAAGATATACAGATTATATAGTACAGTTATATACCAGTAGCAAGTGCATGACATCATCAATAATTACACTGAACAGGAACACAAGAATAAGAAATTATATACACAGACAAACATGTCATCAATATTTATTTAAAAGCACATAGCTCTAACCTCCATTCTTTGAAGATTAAAGTGTAATGGTGTTTAATTTGACAAAATATGGACCCATAGGCTTTCTTCAGGCTTCTTACTTTTCAAAATTGAAATATAAACAAATTAAAAAAATCAAGTCCAAAGTAAATTTTCTGTAAATTACAAGACAGGTGAACTGTTTGGTTATTTATATTCCTCCACAGAGATGTACAACTGTTTTTAAAGAAAGAAACTTTAAGTTGTGACTTTCTCTGCGACGCCTTAATGCATCAAAACAGCATCAAACTATTAATTTGTATCCCTGTTTTTCTGCACACAGTTTGAATAGAAGATTAAAGTGTAAGGTCAAATAGTTCATATCATTAAGATAACAATATGTATTTGGCAATAAATTAATATTATTAATTTTGTATTTGAGAATATTTATCATAATTCTAAGTTACCTAGGTACCATAACATTGCCATTTGTCCACGATCGTCAAGGTCAGATATTGTATACAGTCAAGTCTCGTTAATCCGACAATTGTTAACGGTGTCAGATTAATGGGACTTGACTGTACATATGCTTTTGACACCATAGTTGTTGAAACTGGTGTCCTTAAGTAGCCACCTCCATAGGCTAGGTGAGTGATTGATGTTCCTTTTATACCATGGTCAGCAATATGCCATGGCCTGTAAGTAATTGAGTATGGGACAGACAAACCAGTGGTTGATAGCATAAGCAACCATCCACAGAATCAGGTACAATAACACACAATCAGCCGGGTCTCACACTATAAACCCACAATCGGCCATTACAACACACATGGCTATGGGGGATTCCTCCTACCTGTAATCCCCACAAGAGTCTCAAGGCTATGGATCACCAAAGTGTCAGTTATATTCTCATATATGAATTTTATATAAATAAATTTGCAAGAAGTGATTGACCTTTGTGTGGAATAATCCCTGAAGTATTGTGTATTTTACCTCCTGAAAAAAATAGACAAATAAACCCTATAATGGCTGCAAAGAGTAACCCAAAATGGGCCGCACGTAGCACATACCCAAAATGGGCCTCTCGATACATAATCTGTGTTGAAACTTGGGAACTATGAAACATCTGAACTAAACTATTGCACAAGACTATCATGATACACATCTGGTAAAGTATGTCTGACAATACAGACACTGACTTGAAAGACAGCAAGCTTAAAAGCAGAACAGACATTTCCAATTTTCACAACCAAGTTTGCTAAGACAAACATATTCTGAAAAGAAACAGTGTTGATCCAATCTCCTTAACTTAGATCTTTTACTCTGATGCAATACCTTTCTGCATCAAGATCTGATAAATATTCCATTAGAGGTCATGTCGGGTGAACCCTGAGTAACTTTGACCACCCAATGTAAATGAAGGATCCATGGGTTCTTGAACCAATCACACATCAGCTTTCTAAAACTTGTTTTCCTTCCCTTCCCTACCACCTCAATTTTGAATTTTTGATATTAAAAGATAATCCACAGACATTTCCCTCAATAATACACCATTACTGAAGCAGACGTCATGGAGCTCAGGTACAAAAGGATGTATAAAATTTCCACAATATAAGGCACAGCCTTTATTATATTCCATTTAGTACTGCCTGTTTATGTTCGCTTTTGGAATACAGAAATCAGATCATATATACATGCCACTCTGAATGCTTCGCTCACTCATACTGAGAATTCAGAAGCCTTGACACGAAATGGCATATTAGAACGTTCACCTGACATGACTTCCTACATGGGAATTGGCAGATATTCATGCAGGGAGGTATGGTATTGGAGTAAAAACTCTGAATTTGTTTGATCAGGTTTTCAGAATGTTTTTAAGGCATAAGAAGATACTTAGGCCAAACTGATAATATATAACATGCTACATAATTCTTCTGAAATACAATTCAGAAAGATTTAAACTGTCTCCATGCTAAACAGTCAGAACCTACGCTGACACGTGAAATACCTGGTTTAAGGCAAAAAGTCATGATGGGTTGCTTGTATCTTGCTTTAATCATTTTACTTAAACCCAAATTGCTTCACATTAAATGTAACCCTTGAAAAATGAAAGACGATTAATTATCAGCTCCTATCACTACAAATTCACAGGACTCTGGCATGCCTAAGGGACGCAACTTCTAATATGAAGTTAATTCTTATACTTTAGATACCAGTAAAAGACTTGTCAGCTTCTTGTCAGAGTATTGAGAAACTTGGGTTTAATGCTACTTTGAACATTATTTCAGTTATATCACAAGGAGTTGCTATGAGGTTACTGATATCACTTATAACATATATGCACACAGTGAATGTTGAGGCACAAGCAGTATGGAATAAGTTTTAGGTAAAGCAGTATGTGTACATAAAACAATATTTCCCTTACAACATAATTTAAAATGTTGCTAAGGAGCTAGGCATGGTGTGTATTTCAATTTTCTAAGTAAACTTACGTAACTACAAGTAATATGATACAAATTTCATAAACATGATTTGTTTGCTGATACCTACTGTAGAAAAAGCAAAAATGTATTTTTACTATGACCTGAGAATGACAGATTGCATGACATAGTAAAATCAAAGCTGGCTTTTGACACTGCTTTTGTCCCAGGAAACAAATACTATGGGTCAACAGAGTGTCATAGCCCTGCCCCTTGAGATGATGATGATGTTGCACCCTGCTGCAGCTGTTGCTGTGACGGCACTGGAGCAGGAGGCTGGGCACTCCGTTTCGGAATTACAGGTTTCCCTTTCCGACCTCTCTTACTCCCTTCATCCTGGTCACTGAAAAAAAGACACTGGGGAATGTTAATATGTCACGGATTACTGCTAAACAAACTAAGAACATGAAAATGTCACTATTCCCATCCATGGGGCATATTAGAATTTTGCTTGTTCATAAATAGTAGTGAATAATTAGGTGAGGTGAGGTGAGGTGATGTGAAATTTGGTTTAACGTCGCATCCAAGATTGTTGCGCTTATATAGCGACGTGCATGCACATGTGTGTGTGTGTGTTCTTGCTGCCACTAAATTAAGATCTGAGGACATCCCATTACGGGTCACGTCAGAACTTTGACCAACCAGTGAAATGACTAACAAGAAGTCGACATCAGCCAATTAGAAAGCAGATTTCTCGAGCTTTGCGGCACTCGTTTTAACCTGGCGACTTACATTTCAGATAACACTTGAAAAATATATTGACACAGTTCTCGATTACAATTTTGAAAACTGAACAGACGAGCATTCCGGAATGTCTAATATATAGTTACGACTGTATGGCAGTGCTTTCCACGTTCTGTGCAATGCCTCCTCCATTCAAATGTTTATCCCATGGAAGCGAGATATAGACGATAATTTTGACGGAATCAGTCGTACGAGCCATAACTGTCGTTCGGAATACCCTGTGTTAACGTTTTCGAGGTTGCATGATTAGAAAACACATTCCAAATGTCACTTTCATGATCTGGTAAGCGACGCTTTGATTGGTCGGATGAAAGGTCGTTCTGATGTGACACGTAATGGGATGTCCTCAGATCTTTGTTTAGTGATAGCGAGAACTAAGATCTTATTTTAATGAGATTGATCCTATTGTGTTCTAGAAACACAACAAAGAAGAGCCAGGTAACAATGTCTTCAGTTAACCTGCATTACTGTCTTGTAACTGTCATAACTCCGAAGTACTCCTTACTTGAAGAATGGTAGGGTGGTCATTAAAGTTTCTTTTGTGACGCTTGCCACAAATTGTTCATTCTTCTCCATGAGTAGGTTGATCATTCGACGTAGGTATTTCTGGAGTGACTGACGACGAACCTCCACCACCTTGGCATCCTGAAAATACATTGGAAACACATGGTAGGACACATCTGTATCAACACATGGTAAGACATAGGGATTGTTTTCTTTAGTCTAAAATAAAGAACCATCTCAAGAGATTAACATAAGCATAATATTGTGCAAAAAAAGATTTCTCACCTTGCTGCCGATTGTTTTCTTGGGTGGGAATTCATATTTGCTGACCAGCGGGTAGAGTTTTTTTAACTTGACATGCAGATCATGAAACTGGCTATATCGGCGGTAGACATTCCACTCTTCATCTCGTATCCGGACATAAATCTGAGCAACAAATCAGAAATACATTGTATGTCCTTGTATGTCTATGTCTTGGATTTGTGTCTGAGGTTGTGTCTAGAGTCTGTCTTGGACTTTTGTCGTGTCTAGAATCTGCGGTCTGTGTCACGAACCTATGTCTGAAATCTGTATCTGGAGTCTGGAGACTGTTTGGAGTCTGTGTCTTGGATTTGTGTTTAGGAGTCTGTCTGAAATCTGTCTGGAGTCTGTGTCTAGGGTGTGTGTCTGGGGGTCTGTGTGAGGAGAATGTGTCTTGTGCCTGTTCCTAGGGTCTGTGTCTGGAGTCTGTGGTTGACATATGTGTCTGGAGAGTATGTGAGTCTGTGTCTTGGGTGTGTGTCTAGGGTCTGTGTCTTGGGTGTGTGTCTAGAGTGTGTGTCTTGGGTGTGTGTCTAGGGTCTGTGTCTGGGGGTCTGTGTCTGGGGGTCTGTGTCTAGGGTCTGTGTCTGGAGTCTGTGTCTGGGGGTCTGTGTCTAGGGTCTGTGTCTGGGGTCTGTGTCTGGGGGTCTGTGTCTAGGGTCTGTGTCTTGAGTGTTTCTAGGGTCTGTGTCTGGGGGTCTGTGTCTAGGGTCTGTGTCTGGAGTCTGTGTCTGGGGGTCTGTGTCTAGGGTCTGTGTCTGGAGTCTGTGTCTAGGGTCTGTGTCTGGAGTCTGTGTCTAGGGTCTGTGTCTGGAGTCTGTGTCTAGGGTCTGTGTCCGGAGTCTGTGTCTAGGGGCTGTGTCTTGGGGGCTGTGTCTGGGGGTCTGTGTCTAGGGGCTGTGTCTTGGGGGCTGTGTCTTGGGGGCTGTGTCTAGGGGCTGTGTCTGGAGTCTGTGTCTAGGGTCTGTGTTTTGGGTGTGTGTCTGGGGGTCTGTGTCTAGGGTCTGTGTCTTGGGGCTGGGTCTAGGGTCTGTGTCTAGGGTCTGTGTCTTGGATGTGAGTCTGGGGGTCCGTGTCTGACAGCTGTGTCTGGAGTGTATGTGAGTCTGTGTCTGGAGTCTGTGGTAGACACTAACCTGGTACACATGGTGTGAGTCGGTGGCAGTCCCTCTGATGAAGGCTGAAGGGATCCAGATGTTCACCAGGGTCCGAGTCAAAGCAAGGCTGGAAATCAACAAACAGTCAATGAAGGAAAAGTATGCAAATAATTAATAATTCAAAGTAAAGAAACATTTCTCTTATTATTTATTTCATTATGATTTTTTTCCTCCTCAAACAATACAAAGACAAACATGACAATACATACGCATCTGTGTCCCCCGGCAGGGAGTCTTCAATGGAGGCTTGGGAGTCATATGGAAGCTGAAATGAGTGAGAGAGCGTATCAGTCAGCATCAGTACAGCTACCATCGCAGTCACTGTTTCTCATTGGTAATGGGTAGCCCACTTGACTTAGTAGCAGCAAGTTGCTGTGGACAGTTGCATCCCCGAGCAGTGCCAAAAACCTATGATCATGGTTTCGAATCCTGGTTTGCCCTGATTATGTTCCTAGGTTTGTCAGCATATCTGTGCCAATTGGCTTCACGAAAGTCGTAAAGTTTAAGACCTGGATCACTTCAGGCTTTCCTTCCACATCAAGCTGACACACCCTGATATAACTGAAATACTGTTCAAAGCTGTGTTAAACACAACCAGTCAGATATCATGAGGTACTTAATCTCCTGGGTTACACGGTCTGGATGGTTAATGCCACATGCTTTTCTGCCACATCAAGCTAACATGCCATGGCATACATATGAAATACTGTTTAAAGTGGCATTTAACCCAAATCACTCATCCATATAGGCATTTATTGTGTAGCACAATATAAACAGTTTTCCGCATAGCAAATAGTTAAATAAAACAGCAGATAAATTAGCAGATAAAACACACACTTATAAAAGTTATATCCTACATTTATAACACATCTATAACCCAGTTAAAGATGCAGTTAAAACACACTTATAACATTTAAATCCTACATTTATAACACACGTCTATAACCCAGTTATAGATGCAGTTAAAACATTTATAACAGTTAAATCCTACATTTATAACACACATATATAACCCAGTTATAGATGCAGTTAAAACACATTTATGACAGTTATATCCTTCATATATAACACACATCTATAACCCAGTTATAGATGCAGTTAAAACACATTTATGATAGTTAAATCCTACATTTATAACACACGTTTAAAACCCAGTTATAGATGCAGTTAAAACACATTTATGACAGTTATATCCTACATATATAACACACATCTATAACCCTGTCATAGATGCAGTTAAAACACATTTATAACAGTAATATCCTACATATATAACACACACCTATAACCCAGTTATAGATGCAGTTAAAACGCATTTATAACAGTAATATCCTACATATATAACACACATCTATAACCCTGTTATAGATGCAGTTAAAACACATTTATGACAGTCATATACTACATTTATAACACACATCTATAACCCTGTTATAGATGCAGTTAAAACACATTTATAACAGTAATATCCTACATATAAAATGCAGTTATAATAAAAGGTAACCATGGTAACATACTGGTCCACGGAGGTTGACCAGCTCCTGGCGGAGTTGCTTCAGCAGCGTCTCCTTACTGTTGAGTTGACGATGCAGCAGCTCATTGAACTCCATCAGCTCGCCATGCATTTCTGCTACCTGTAACATTGTAACTAACTCTGTAACAGTAGCTCTCATGATTATTTATATATAGCCTAGTATTCTGAGTATGACGTTAATAATACGTAGGACTCTGAGCTATTGAAGGCCACTTTTTCATAGCAAAAATGTAGGATCATCTTGCCCAATGATGTCAACAGAATCATGATGTTCTATTCTTACTATCAATCATCCTTAGGGATCTCTCACTATCCTTGGAGTCAGTAATTGGGTGATTTGTTACATACCGGTAATCAATGTCTTCATTCATCATGTTTATCATAAACAATGTTTGAAGACATACCATGGTTTAGAGAATTGCAGAATATGCTGTGGACCTAGCTGAGAAATTTGCCACAATATTGAGTCATACCATGCATCTGATTCCTATATATTTGCATGCAAACTGGACTTATCACCAAATAAGAGTCATCAGGTGATGACATATCCCCCAGGTCTGGCGCAATTCAGAAAGGGTTTGGCTACTTATACCACACTTTTGGTTCACTGCCATTGGATACCTTCAGTTCAGTGAAGGAAAAAGAAAATGCTATTCAGTATTTTTCAAAATCCCAAATCATCACAAGGAACCAGTCCACCACTAGACTGAAACGAACCCCATCCCCAATGGAGTCTATGTCCAACTTCTTTCCATAAAAATTAAAAAAACACAAAAATTTGAAAAATCCCAAAATATCAAAAGGCACCACTTCAGTATGTGACTGATAGATTTGCCAAGTTTCGATTGAATACACTGAATGGTTTTCGAGTTCTGCCCCGGAAAAGGAAATGATTACAGACAGACAGACGGACGGACAGGCTGGCTGATCGCAATATCCCCCTGCATTATATGCCGGGGTCCACAATTAAAGAGTTAAACAATTAAAAATGGCAAAATACAAGTGGTTGTTACTTTTAGATATGTATGGAAATCCAAGCACAATGATAAAGGCCTCTTATTTCAATTGCCTTTGTAGTACATATATAGTGTGTCATGTATTCCTGCGCATGTCACGATATGTAACAAAACTTGTGCCACAAACATGACGATTGCCAAAAACAGCAATTTAATTATCGAAGTACATTTTATTTTTACAAACATTGTTACTGATCTACTTCAATGTATGCACAAAAGATGAAGACCAATCCTTAAATAAAATTTAGTAATTCAATTTCTAAATGTAGTGTCCTCCGGTTATCACTGGAAGTAGCAGGGAGCACCTAGTGGTCTATATGTTGGCTCCTCAAACTGAGGCCCTGGTTCGATTCCCCACATGGGTACATCGTGTGAAGCCGATTCTTGGTGTCAACCGTCATGATATAGCTGGAATAATGCTGAAAATCATGTAAAACCCAACTCCCTCACTCACTCTCATCATACCTGGATGAGTTTCTTCTCGTACTCCGATGCCTCGTAGCTGTAGTCAATCATGGGTTTCTCCGGGGGTATGGTTGGCTGGGGGTCCTCCAGGCTCACTCCCAGATTAGCTGACAAACACAAAATAACAAACAATTATTCAATCATTCTCTTACATGTAACATAAAACCTCAACAAGTTTGCAAAAGTTTTTAAAAAAAAAAATAACGTGTCTGATTAAAAATTATTGTATTTTGTTTCCTATTTTGTTTCAATTTTTGTTGATTTAAAGTACCATTAATAGGAATGTAAACTTAAACCTGACAAATGTTTTTCATATTTTTTAATTTTGACTCCTGCATTTTGGTCATGAAAACATGGTCTTCAGTCCTGACTTGTCTTCCAGAATCCCTTATGACACAGATCAAAAGATCATGCTTACTGGTTTGTAAATTCTGGTTATATCTGAACTTCCCCAGAGAATGTGGATATTAAAAGAATGTGAGTTCCCAGCATACCATCTTTGTTAACAGCCTCAGTCCTCAGGAGTTGTACAGCGTTCACATACTTCCGCAGCTGGTGCTTCAACAGCTCGTTCTCCCTGCACACAACAACACAGCAGCATGACACAGCCGAGACCCAGCAGACTAATGTATACACTACCCTACTACCGAAACTGTGTGAGATACCCCCACTATAGATTAGTGAAGGGTGTAGGGTGTAGGTGTACAGGACAAATGGGTATGAAAACAGTAAATAGCTCAGCAAGGTCAAACCAGTAACATTTATATAGGCTGACACTATGGAAACAGTGCTTGTCGCTATGGCAACTTACTTTGGTGATGCCTGTAGTATAGCAAGCTCCACTCGTTAACATTATGGCAGGCTGTAACTATGGTCAGAGTGCTTGTTCCCAAGGCAACTTGCATCTCCAACACCTCTATCTTAGCAAAGTCCAACCAGTAACATTTATATCAGCTGTAACCATGGTGACAGTGCTGGTTCCCATGGTAACTTACTTCTGCAATGCTTGTATCTTGGCAAGGTCCATCTCCTGCCGAGACTGCTGCTGCAACTTCAGCTCCTCAATTTCTGCCCGCAACATCGATGAAGTCTCCATCTCATGCTCCAACATCGCCTTCACTGACCTGAGGCATACAATGTATCATATGAGATGGGCAAATAGGTGGCAATGTTACATGTTTCCAATATAAGACTACTATCTTTGTTGTTACTGAAACACCCACATGCCAGTCGCCATGGCAACAGACTAAGCACCAGCCTATACCTATTCCATATCTAATCGCCTCTCCATGCAAATGTTGATGAACTTCCCCTTGATGCTGACTACAACTCACTTGTTCTGCTCCTCGACCTCATCCTTCCGTAGCATCATGGCAACTACAGCTTGTTTCAAGTCACCTACAATGAAAAACAATCAGTAAGTCTCTTCCCCTTTGTTTCTCATATCACTGACTAACAACAAATTTAAAACAAGAATTTAAATTGGTAACATCAGTTTTAAGTATTCTTAAAGGAAGCCATGTCACAATAAACGTTCCAAGAATGGAAGCATAATTACAGATATAAATTGTTAACATGATATAAACATGAAAATATGTCAGTTCAAAATAAAATTATCCACATATAATATTACTTTCAGTATTCTGACCAAAAATATTAACTGAGTTCTAATTTAATAAAATGAATTAGTTATTAGGGAAATATTACTTCAAATAAACTAAACATGACAAAGCTTAAGGAAAAGAAGTGAGAGGGAGGAGAGTATTAGTAAGCTGACAATGGTTAGTAGTGAAAGTGTATATGAGTAAAAAAAACTTGTGTGTTAGAAATTGTAATTAATATGAAAATATATGCAAAAAAATTGTAAGAGAGAAAGTATGTAGGACACAAGTGTGGAGAGTGAAGCAACGAAATCAACCCCAACCGAATGTCCTAGTGAGGAGCATTGTTAGTAGAAAAGGCTATGCTAGCTACTGCATGCCTATCAAGTAATCTTATCTCACTCTTCTCAGCTGCTGTCTTAGGGCTGGAGGGCAGGGCAATGGAACTAGTTGTGTGACACATACTCTGCCCACTGATTCCCTGCTGTTCCAACACTTCGTCAATACTGCCACCATCTCCTTGAGTACGAGGGCTGGAACAAATGGACATGTGAAGCATGCTTCTAAACACTTCATATTATGTGAGTGACCAAGTGACTGTTTGTTTTGTTTGTTTCTTAATACCGCACTCGGCAATATTCCAGCTATATGAGGGCGGTCTGTATATAATCGAGTCTGGACCAGACAATCCATTGATTGACATCATGAGCATCGCTAAATGCAATTGGAATACTCATGAAAAGCATCAACCAAGTCAGCGAGCCTGGCCACACGATCCCGTTAGTCGCCTCTTACAAACAAGTGACTGAGTGAGCTTGGTTTAATGCCGTTTTGAACAAGAATTCAGTTATAATACTGCATTTATTACTTCATTTTGTTATGCCAATTTATATACTTAACTGCAAGTGAACTGTAAATTGATACATGGAAATTAATAATTACCTCCCTTGAACTGTTTAGTTATAATCAATCAGAGACAACAAATGGGCAGAACATCACTTAATTTGTTGACTACAAATCAGACACTATAGTATTATGGACACTATTGCAAGAGGCATGTGATACTGACCTCTGATTGAGCCCCTTCTGTACCATAGCCAGTGCCAGGGCAGCCGACTCCACTTCCTCTCCCGTATACCCCAGAACTTCAGAGTCCACTGTATATAGCATTGTATTCACTAGGTATGAACAGGGTTAATAGCATGTCATTTCTCACAGTAACATTGATGTTCAACCTACATTTTAAGGCCTTCTCTTTCTCATTGGATGGTTTACATAATTTTGTTTTCTCATAACATTTGGTCAGCTGTCAAAATATAAAATATATTAGTGCTAAAGCATAGTAGCTCACCTGGCTATGTAGCATAATTCACAAATGTTGCTGTTAGCATTCATATTCAAATATGTTGAGCATTAATACTGAAGATTAAAAACACTTAAATCCTAATGATTTCATTTTCTTTGGTTTGTTTGTTGTTCAATGCCACACTCAGCAATCTTTCAGATAAATAATGGCAGCATGTAAGTTCTTGAGTCTGGACAAGACAATCTTGATCAACTTTATCAATAATGACATTACGTTTTGACATCAACATTATCAATAATGACATTACGTTTTGACATCAACTTTATCAATAATGACATTACGTTTTGACATCAACATTATCAATAATGACATTACATTTTGACCATCAACTTTATCAATAATGACATTACGTTTTGACATCAACTTTATCAATAATGACATTACGTTTTAATCATCAACTTTACCAATAATGACATTTCGTTTTAATCATCAACTTTATCAATAATGACATTACGTTTTGACCATCAACTTTATCTGGACCCAGATAACATGTTACTCAAGACACTGTATACGGCGCTACACAAGGCAAAATGGGATATTAGTGTTAGTATCCCATATCAGTGTCAGGGCTTGGACACATTAGTAGGAAATGCAATCATTTTGTATATCATTGCAAAGTGTTAGTTGTAAAATATACATAGTATATTAGTTAAGATAATAACTTCTCTTAGGACAAGAGGTCCTCCGCCACAAGCAAGGGAAACTGTTATTTGGCGCATAGAATAAATATATCACATAGATACTCACCTGACTGGCTCTGAGAGGAATTTCTGCCACTAGGTGGCGTCAAGTCAATAGGTTGACCTGACCGTGAGAGGGGCGTCAAAGTTGCTGTACTCTCCCTGAACAGAAATGAACATCAGTTCACTGACATACGAAAGGCAAATGCATCAGAGTCTGTCGTCTGCCGGGTTGTCACTATGAACATGCAGAATACAATTCCACTTATCATACCTCCATGTCAGAATGATGAGATCTGACTGGTCCACATGATCTTGATAGAATACTGTGTCACCTGCCTTGGAGGGTAATAAATTTCTCAGCGGGGTAATAAATATCCGCCATGAGGTGGCACATGGATTTCTGATAGGCTCAATAAATCCCTTATACCCTGCTTCAAAGCAAAAAGCTGCAAAAAGTCACATGACATAGCACAAGTTAACCTCAACTCAATTGAACAGCTGTTTTCTATCAAGTTTGAAATATATTTGTGTTAATTCTTTTACAATGTCACATTAAAACTTGTCGGTAGGATAAATTCATTGTAGCAGGATCACGAGGGGTACATGGGGTTTAATGTTAGGTTTTATACCATTCGCCTCCGGCTCTTGGTTAAAACCGAACACGGGATGCATAAAACCCCATATACCCCTCGTGATCATGCTACAACATATATTATTTTACAGGGGGTTTGAGTGGGTGTTGGAGATTTTTCTTTGAGACTGAAAATTTTCTCAGTCACTGCTTCAATGTCTACTTTCCTGCAAGGAAAAACTTGACATTTCCTTTTTTATAACACATTCCTGTCAAGTCATCCAGCATGTCCAACAAACAACATTGTTTGTGAGCAAAATCTAAGTCAACGTTTCAAGTGGACTTCTGGTCACAAAATGCATCCTACTCCTCTCATTTAACAGACAAATCATAAGTTTGCCATACAGAAACATCTGTCTATAGTTATTATACTCAGGTGTCTGTCTCACTGTGGGTCCCAGTATCCTTGCTAGTTTTTGAGCTGACTAAGGAAGATTGGATAGTTAGGGTCAGGGACTTGGCGAACAGCTTGTAATCGGGACCCTCTGATGGCGGGGATTGTTGCTCATGCATACAGTGGCTGACTTGTCTGGACCAGACTTGATTATTTACAGGCCGCAGTGATGCATCAACAGTCACTTGCTCTGCGACTCTCATCACTAATGTGTCATGAACATTCCTCAGTTCCATATGAAACATGTCTAGCCACTGTGTCCTAGTAAGTTTGAATCAAGTTGATCTAAACTCACTTTTTTTGCTTCCTAACTAAATTTTATGATGTTTTATGATGCACCATTACAATATCTAGGATACTAATGATCCTCTAGGGATAGGTCTGGAGGACTTTCAAAATTTAAAAAAATCAGCAGTGATTTATATGTAATTGAGGATAATTCTTCTCTGGGTGACTCATTGCATTTAACTTTTTAATTCTATCCTTGTGACAGACCTGTATTAATAATATTAATAATTTAATAGTGATATTAATAAAAAGATAAAGAAAAAACAACATAGTGACATGAACATCAAAATGATCAAATATCTCTGCATTTGCACTGACCTACTTCCAGTATCACTGCAGGTACGTGACCCACTTCAACACGCTTGCCGCAGACAAGCTGAAAGTCAATTTGCTTCTCGTACACATCCAAAAGTAAACCTTAACTTGTGAGGACCTCAAGACACGCTACAAGGGGAGTTTGGGTGGGTCGCAACCAGAGAAGAAACCTCCTTAATTACTCAAAAATCACTGCTGATTTCTTGAAGTAATTTTCGTATAATTCTTCTCTGGGGTGACTCATGGCATAATCCCCTGACTCCCTTAGGGTCTTCTCTGACAGATGTTGGCATGCATAATCTAGAGGACCAGTGACCTCAATGAGCCATATGATGTCCTTGTCCTTGTCCTTAACCATGAACCAGTTAGGATCCTATAGTTCTAGGTGGAATCGCGAACAGCGAGAAATTTACATGACGTCACCTCTGACAATAAGCAAACCATCAGTGAGTGAGTTTGGTTTAACGCCGCTTTTAACAGTATTCCAGTCATATCACGGCGTGTCAGCTTAATGTGGGAGGAAAGCCCGAAGTGATGCAGGTCTCAGAAGTTTACCACTTGGGTGAAACCCACGAGCATGGGTATGGTGCTGACAAACCTAGAAACATAATCTGTGCAAACCAGGATTTGAACCCACAATCATAGGTTTCTGGCGTGCCCAAGGGACGCAACTCTGCACAGCGAATCGCGGCGCCTTAGACGACTGTGCCACCCGTGACCCCAAGCAAACCATGAACCAGTTAGGATCATATAGTTCTAGGTGGACTCGCGAATGGCGAGAAATTTACATGACGTCACCTATGACAATAAGCAAACCATGAACCAGTTAGGATCACATAGTTCTAGGTGGACTTGCGAACAGCGAGAAATTTACATGACGTCACCTCTGACAATAAGCAAACCATGAACCAGTTAGGATCACATAGTTCTAGGTGGACTTGCGAACAGCGAGAAGTTTACATGACGTCACCTCTGACAATAAGCAAACTATGAACCAGTTAGGATCACATAGTTCCATATACTAGCGCACTTTTAGCAACATTCCGTTAGGTAACAACCAATATTGCTATAAAAAACAATACAAAAGAAGCACGACTACCAATTCACCTTGCAACTCGTGTTGTCAATACCAATTCCCAGAATAGCAGGCTAAATCAGTCTATTACAAGCATAGGGGTGCAATGTGTAGTAGCTATTGCGTTGTGTTTGAATGGGTTTTTTTCCATGGAAAAGGACAAACAACATAACTACAGTAGAATATGGGTATATGAATCAAAAGATTACAAATAAACCCACTTCAATGCTTCTTCCAATCCTGTCCACTCCTGCTGAAAAGTGCTGTATTATAGGTTGTTGGCCAGTTGTAACACCATCAAACGAGAGTCCTTACAGTGGACTTCGGTCACAAGCGTCAGTTAGTCTGCTCGACCCATGTACCTCATCCCCATACAGCCATCAATCCCGTAGCCACCAGCAATATTGTCGCATGGTCTAGGAATCAAATGGGCCCAGCACCTGGCTCACAAACTGAACCTCAGGCTGATTCCAGGGCGGCTGTGTATCCCTGTGAGGGCACGATGGCACCCAGGGGATAATTAGCTTTGGGAACAGAAACCCCGAGCTGTTGAGTGTTCAGAGGGAATGATTCCACCAAGCACCTGTAAGCCGCTCGCAACTCGATGGGCCTCAAGCTGAAAGAAGGCATAACCCTGGGTGGTGCCTTTTGGGTTCCCCTAGACATCAACACCTGAGTTACTACAGCCTACATGATCTACAACCGGTAGCCACAGAATGGTACCTATATAAACTGAGACAACTGATGCAGGTACATGTAATGCAACCACCGTAATAACAACTGACACCTTGTGAGGTTTTTCTTTATTATCACCCTTACACAATGTGAAGTGTCGGAAGACATTATATACAAAACAAAAACCTTGGGTTGGTTGAGAGCTGTCAATCCGGACCACTCCATACGAGTGACAAAAGCTAATTGACTTTTAGTCGGGTTGCGGCACGCATGTTGAAGTGGGTCACGTGGTACCTGCAGCGATACTGTAAGTAGGTCAATGCACACGCAGGGATATTCGAGGATAATGTCGCAATGTTGTTGTTTTTTTCTTAATCTTTTTATTAATATCACTATTAATACAGGTCTGTCACAAGGATAGAATTTAGAATGTACTAGAAAAGTTTGGATGGCCTTTCAAAATAATTCTTGTATCATAAAAACGAACATGACCGACTTCTGAGTGCAGTAATATATTGTCATAAATCCCCTCTCTAGAAAACCTACCCTAATTCCACATCTTCTGAACTGAATGACCCTAGACTTGACCTTGACAATCCATCTGAAGATGTCTGACTCACAATAGGAGCTGCCTTATTTGATTGGCCAGAGTTGCCTCCCTTTGAAGAGAATCCATCACCTGGATCTCCATTTCTCATTTGAACACCTGTTTTGTCCTCCATATTGTCTGACATATCCTTGATGGAATCCTCCCTGGATATGGGATCAGAGCTGACGGAGCTGTGGGGAGACTTCCTGGACTTGGCGGTCACTGACCCCGATTCACTGAACACATCAGCATCGTCCTCATCAAAGCTGACAATGTTTGCTATCTTCTTCTTTTTCTTTTTTTCCTTCTTTTTGGCACTCTCTGCAATTTCTACAAACATACAAAATCTCTTTAACTTTATAGACTACATAGAATGTCATATGGCTTTTGGTGGCAAATCTAATTTTTATTGCCATTTACATCCCTAGCAAAAAAATGCATCAAACAATGGACCTACCCTACTATTGTCCCCAGCTAGGAAACAAAAGGGAGCTACCTTTGTCCCTGGCTATGAAACAAGGGACCTACCATTGTCCCCGGCTATGAAACAAGGGACCTACCATTGTTCCTGGCTATGAAACAAGGGACCTTCCATTGTCCCTGGCTATGAAACAAGGGACCTACCATTGTCCCTGGCTGTGGAAAAAGGGTCCTATCATTGTCCCTGGCTATGAAACAAGGGACCTACCATTGTCCCTGGCTATGAAACAAGGGACCTACCATTGTCCCTGGCTGTGGAAAAAGGGTCCTATCATTGTCCCCTGCTATGAAACAAGGGTCCTATCATTGTCCCTGACTGGAAACAAGGGACCTACCTTTGTTCCTGGCTATGAAACAAGGGACCTTTCCATTGTCCCTGACTGGAAACAAGGGACCTACCATTGGTTCCGGCTATGAAACAGGGACCTTTCCATTGTTCCCGGCTGGGAAACAAGGGACCTATCATTGTTCCCGGCTAGGAAACAAGGGACCTACCATTGTCCCTGACTGGAAACAAGGGACCTACCTTTGTTCCCGGCTATGAAACAAGGGACCTACCATTGGTTCCGGCTATGAAACAAGGGACCTACCATTGGTTCAGGCTATGAAACAAGGGACCTACCATTGTCCCTGGCTGTGGAAAAAGGGTCCTATCATTGTCCCTGGCTATGAAACAAGAGACCTACCATTGTCCCTGGCTATGAAACAAGGGACCTACCATTGTCCCTGGCTGTGGAAAAAGGGTCCTATCATTGTCCCCTGCTATGAAACAAGGGTCCTATCATTGTCCCTGACTGTGGAAAAAGGGTCCTATCATTGTCCCCTGCTATGAAACAAGGGTCCTATCATTGTCCCTGACTGGAAACAAGGGACCTACCATTGGTTCCGGCTATGAAACAAGGGTCCTATCATTGTCCCTGACTGGAAACAAGGGACCTACCTTTGTTCCTGGCTATGAAACAAGGGACCTACCATTGGTTCCGGCTATGAAACAAGGGACCTACCATTGGTTCCGGCTATGAAACAAGGGACCTACCATTGGTTCCGGCTATGAAACAAGGGACCTTTCCATTGTTCCCGGCTAGGAAACAAGGGACCTATCATTGTTCCCGGCTAGGAAACAAGGGACCTACCTTTGTTCCTGGCTAGGAAACAAGGGACCTACCATTGTCCCTGACTGGAAACAAGGGGCCTTTCCATTGTTCCCGGCTAGGAAACAAGGGACCTATCATTGATCCCGGCTAGGAAACAAGGGACCTACCATTGTCCCTGACTGGAAACAAGGAACCTACCTTTGTTCCCGGCTATGAAACAAGGGACCTACCATTGGTTCCGGCTATGAAACAAGGGACCTACCATTGGTTCCGGCTATGAAACAAGGGACCTACCATTGGTTCCGGCTATGAAACAAGGGGCCTTTCCATTGTTCCCGGCTAGGAAACAAGGGACCTATCATTGATCCCGGCTAGGAAACAAGGGACCTACCATTGTCCCTGACTGGAAACAAGGAACCTACCTTTGTTCCCGGCTATGAAACAAGGGACCTACCATTGGTTCCGGCTATGAAACAAGGGACCTACCATTGGTTCCGGCTATGAAACAAGGGACCTACCATTGGTTCCGGCTATGAAACAAGGGACCTACCATTGGTTCCGGCTATGAAACAAGGGACCTTTCCATTGTTCCCGGCTAGGAAACAAGGGACCTACCATTGTCCCTGACTGGAAACAAGGGACCTATCATTGTTCCTGGCTATGAAACAAGGGACCTACCATTGGTTCCGGCTATGAAACAAGGGACCTACCATTGGTTCCGGCTATGAAACAAGGGACCTTTCCATTGTCCCTGACTGGAAACAAGGGACCTACCTTTGTTCCTGGCTATGAAACAAGGGACCTACCATTGGTTCCGGCTATGAAACAAGGGACCTACCATTGGTTCCGGCTATGAAACAAGGGACCTTTCCATTGTTCCCAGCTAGGAAACAAGGGACCTATCATTGTTCCCGGCTAGGAAACAAGGGACCTACCATTGTCTCCGGCTATGACTGCATGGGGCTCCTCCTGAATGTCCGGAGCCGACCCATGATCAGCAGTGTTGTTGACATGTACATTGTTAGACAGATGGTGTGCTCTGTTCAGCTCTGGCCGGTCAATGGTGATAGCAAACAAAATAGAACCAAGACCTGCAGAAGAATGTACAGATTTTGATAAAAGAATACTTTTTTATTTCACATAATAAAATATTACATATAACTTAAACCAAATGCTAAATGAAAAGACACAATTCTTTTCCTGAAATAGGTCCTATTTTTTAGCATTTAAAATAAAAACATTTAAAACTTTTGACTGAGAGAGTAACACCAAACAGACCCAAGGTTATGACTTTTGCATAGTGGTAAATTTACTTTGTAAATTCATTTTTGGCTAGTGGTATGCCTTTGTCTGTGACTTCACAAGAGCTACCCCTGTACTTGAGAGTTATCTCCCTTCTTACTTACAACTTGTTGCTGGTTTACAGACAAGATTGAATATTAAGTGAGGCAGCTATGTATGGATCATAGTTGTATGGAAAATGTAAGGTAACTACGTCCGCCGGTGTCAAATGGGCCTCAGCTGTAGATAGTTGTACAGCTTGCAGTAAAGCAGGAAAATGACACCTGGAGCATACAAGTAGGGCAAATTTGTGTAAAGCATTAGAGGATATTGCATATTTTAAGTCACATGCAATAGCACTGCTACAATGGATGACTGACACCTACCGGCCGACATCATGGGCAGCATGCTGCTTCTCTCTTGGTCGCGGAGGAATGCCCATTCTTCATAAAATTGACTGAAAGTAAAAGACAAAGTTTGTGTTTCCAGATTTGCTGCTTCAGTATTCTTTACACACTTGCTCAGTCTTTCCTTCTTAGGTAATCATGCATCACATCCCTTCAAAGCTGCCTGGAGAACTGAAGGTCGATGGCTCGATACCCTGCAGCGTCATAGCAAAAGGTGTTAAAGGTGTTACCATCCCTGGAGCTTGCCATTAAGGGGCTAAAACAACGACAAGTCAGCTCGGAGTCAGTATACTGTGACTGAGGGGGGTATTCATGTTAAACGGTTGAAACGTATCTCAGGGGGCTAGCAGTATAAAATTGGCATTTGTTCGGACTAGTACAATGTGCCTGTCTCTCTCCACTATCCTCACTATCGACATGAGCTTGTCTCTTCCCACCATCTCCCCTGAGCATGTACTCGCTATCAATGAACCTCTCTCTCCACTATCCCCCCTGTCCTCACGATTAATGAGTCTGTCTTTTTCCACTATCTCACCTGAGCATGTCCTCGCTATCGATGAACATGTGCATGTATCTCTCCAGGGAATGTTCATTGAATGAGGCTCGGAGCCAAGCCCGTCCTCGTCCAGCATCAGTGTTGATGGTCTTGAGGTTGGCGAAGCGTTGTAGTTCATGTTTAGTCAGGACCTCCTTTGCATACTGCCAGAAGGCTGGTGAACACAAACACTCTCATCAGAACTCACACCATGCAGTACAAAACTGTCATCACAGCTTCACCTACTCGTACTGGCGCCTTTGCATGATATAAGGCAGAATGTTGATATTTTCAGATATATTCACATGTAGCTCATAATATATATATCATGCAAAACCATCTTCCTGAGGTAAGTGAGTTAACTGACTATAAAAGTCCAGTTTCCACCCTTACCGAACTAGGCTGGTATTATGGATTCCATTTTGGCTGGACTAACGAGTCTATGCATAGTCCAATCAAAATCGCGTCCTGAAATTCGGTTCATAAACGGTCATGCAGATTTTGGTCGGTCGGAGGATTTGCAAAGCATGTGCACCGTTAACTAGTCGTCAACAGATATTTTCTAAATCTTTTCATGTTTTAAATAAAGGTGCTCACGTGATTCGATGCACTTCGCGATGTAATACTTGTTTTATCACAATATATAGATCTTGATTATTGATCAGATCGTCTTGACTGGGCGCCGCCGTTTTGTTTGAAGCAAATGGAAGTGATACGAGAGGTGGAATTTGATTGGTCCATAGGAGAGGCATAGAAGAGACATAACTCGTAATAGCCACTGGTGGCACTACGATCGAGCCCAGGAATTCAAGCCTAGTTCGTCAAGGGTGGAAACTGGACTTTTAAAGTCAGTTAACTCTCTTGCCTCGGGAAGATGTCCAAAACTGTCTCTCACAGGAGATATCGCTTGGGTGAGATCAAGCGATATCTACACTGTAGATATCGCTGCAATGAAATAGCATCACAATGCTTTGCAGACCATTGTGACGTCATTGGTTACCATGACGTCACAATCAAATGACATCCCTAATCATGCTAATGGCTCTGCTACTGAAGCTGTTAGCAGTACTTTTTACACTTAAGACACTGCTTATTACTGTCTACAAACTGAAAAAGTTGGAAGAATGATGTTGGATGATAAATAAAATCTCACCCGAGTGTCTTTTGATATCAAATAATTATATCAACACTTGTTGATAAAAGTGGAAAAAATCCTCGACAAGCCTCGTATTTATCCCACTTTTATCAACTTGTGTTGATATATTTGATATCAAAAGACACTCGGGTGAGATTCTCTCATGTACTAGATACTGTAAGGGTTAAACATGTACTACATACTGTATGGGTTAAACATGTACCAGATACCGTAAGGGTTAAACATGTACTAGATACCATAAGGGTTAAACATGTACTAGATACCGTAAGGGTTAAACATGTACTAGATACCGTAAGGGTTAAACATGTACTAGATACCGTAAGGGTTAAACATGTACTAGATACCGTAAGGGTTAAACATGTACTAGATACCATAAGGGTTAAACATGTACTAGATACCGTAAGGGTTAAACATGTACTAGATACCATAAGGGTTAAACTTGTACTAGATACCGTAAGGGTTAAACATGAACTAGATACTGTAAGGGTTAAACATGTACTAGATACTGTAAGGGTTAAACATGTACTAGATGCTGTAAGGGTTAAACATGTTCTAGATACTGTAAGGGTTAAACATGTACTAGATACTGTAAGGGTTAAACATGTACTAGATACTGTAAGGTTTAAACATGTACTAGATACTGTAAGGTTTAAACATGTACTACTATACCCAATTATCATCCGCATTCAGAAAATCCTATCTGCTAAAAAAACCTAATTGGGTTTCTGATAGAAAATAATAATGATTTACACAATAATGTTTTTGTGGATATTTTATACACTCTGTCACTTATCATCCTTAGGTTCTGTCATACAAGAGGAAAATGATATTTCCCATCAACAGATGGAGAGTGTTCAATAGTTACCAGGCTCAGGATCAATATTCTTGATGTCATTGAGGAAATCTGTCACTTTTGACAGCCCTGCTCTCTCCGTCACCTGCCTGCAAAACATACATAGACAAACTGAACATGTACAGACTTTGACCTGATAATAAACATAGAATTTTGTGTAAACATGAACTTAAAGTTTAATGTGCCCTGATGTGTGGCTCACCAATGGTGACCGCCTTGGCGGTCAAGTGGACAGGGCAGAAAGTCTGGGTTCAATCTCCGGCAGTGTCACACCAAAAGGTGTTAAAAGATGGTACTTGTGTTACCCTGACTGACTCTCAGCAGTAAGGGGCTAAAACAAGGACAACTTGGCTTCAAGTCAGTATATTGTGTCTGAGTTGGGTATTCAGGTTAAACTGCTGCATAGTATCTCAGTGGGCTAGCACTATAGAATTACAAATAGTCCAGACAAGTACAATCACACACACACACACACACACACACACACACACACACAGACATGTGTGCATGTCACTATATAAGTGCAATAATCTTGAAGGCAATGTAAAACCCCATTTCACCTCATTGATGGTGTGTCAGCTGGATGTGGAAAACAGTCAATTTTTCTGTATCCTTATATTATGCAGCTATCTATTGGGTATATCAAGGTGACCAGTTATCAATCCTCGTGGTTGATGGTGTAAACATCTTCCTATTCAAGGAGTGTATACTGACATAGTATCACACAGTTTAACAGCTACTGGTGACTTGTAATCAATCGTGTTGCAGACAAACCTGTGGTTGATAATATGAACATCTTCCATCATTAGGTGTGTGTAATGAGACAGTATCAGACTGTGTAACAGTTACCGAATATGTGACCTGCAACTGGTGGTTGATTGTGTGAGCATCTTCCTATTCTGGGAATGTATACTGACATATTACCACAAAGTTTAAAAGTTAAATCATGGTAATTTGCAAAGTGTAATATGGCCTGGTGCTGACAAACCAATGGTTGATAATATGAACAGGTTTCTACTCCTGCAGGGTACAAATGCGACAATATCACACAGTATTGCAGACACTGGGTTTATCAATAAACTCCCTGGAAACAACTGCAGATGTCCCTGTCATTTGCACAACGAGAATCACTTGAATCTACACCATCCTCCTTGACAAATGTAATTCATGCACAACATTTACTCGAGAGTGCTCTAATGAATGAAGAAAAACTTGTCACATTCATAATTCAACAACCCCTTCTGAGTTAGCCAATCTGATTCGTTTAGACTGGATGCTATCAACACATTCAGAGTAGAGGTGTCACGATAAATCGAAATATCGATATATTGCTATTGGTAAGCACTTAAAGTCAATAAATCAATAAATCAGTTTCCGATCAAAAGTATCGATTTCAGTTAGGAATATCGATAGTTTCGATTGTATTTACCATGTCAATAAAATACAGTAAACTACGGTTATAACGAACTCAAAGGGACTGCTTATTTTAGTTCGTTATAACCGTAATTCGTTATAAGCATATATACAGCATAACTACAGGATATAGTCGGGACTAAAAAGTTAGTTCGTTATATCCGTTAGTTCGTTATAAGCGTGTTCTTTATAACCATAGTTTACTGTACATGCAATACTGTTCAAATTTGTTTTTCCCCTGATCATGAGTTGTAGTAATTTACACATATTAATGTGGAAGTTTCTTTTTCTTAAATTATTAGGGTAGAGAAAAAACAAATCAGTCATATCTCAAACTTTATTTTTTATTTGTTGTTATGGTTATCACATTCAAAGGAAACTTCAGTTCCAAGGTATAATACAACTCTAAAATCCATCTGAAATGATACACTGAAAACTATCGATATGTATCGCAATAGTTGCTTGCAATATCAATATTTATTGCAATAGTTTCTTTTAATATCAATAGTTATCGTAATAGTGATTTCTAGACAATTAGTTACCCCTAATTCAGAGCTATATTAAATCAAAATTTTCTTGTCATATTATTTGTATAATGCCAATAAGCCAAATAGCTGATCTATCATAATATAGCTGTACTTCATGCTTATTTCTGCATTGAATGCTTGCACAAGAGAAAAAGAGGATATGATATAAATGTAGACAGTCTGACCTAGACACCCTTGTGAAGATCCAGGTTAGAATAGGTCTTTAGCAACCCATGCTTTGCACAAGGTGACAATGCTTGTCATAAGAGGCGACAATAGGGAACTTGTGGTCAGGCTCACTGACTTGGTTGAAGCATGTCATTGTATCTCAATTGTGTAGATCGATGCCCAGACTTGAATATTTACAGACCGCCGCCATATAGCTGGCATACTGCTGAGTGCAGCGTTAAACAACAAACCAATCCACAAAACAGGATATCTCCAATGAGGAGTTATACCAGTACACACTGCACTTACTTGATGGCAGAAAGAGCCTTGTTGTTCTTGCGCATGCCATGTTGTAGTGCCGCCTCCCACGCTGCACACAGACAGGACACCCTGCACACCAGGAACACATTTACACCACTGCTAATACACAGTATACACTTAACACTAGCCCTGTGGCTTGTCAAAGGGCTAGCAGAATGACAGAAAATGTAAACATTATAAGCATTGTTTTTTTTGTTCAAGCAGGACTTGCTACAAACTCTTAAGAACCAGTTAAACAAGATTTACACCAGTCCATTGGCTAGTCTTTAAAAAGTGAATTTATGTCTACACTGTCTTCACTTAATGTACCACTTAACAATACTTCATAAAGAATAAGTACCACAGAGAAGTGATCGGAATGGGTAATGTACAACAGCCTCTCTAATGGTTCCCCTGTTTAAAAACAAATGTGTCAAGATGTCAGTTCAAAGACTAAATACTGTAGGTATAACATATTTTGTCAGTGTTAACCTGTGAGTATTATTCTTATTAAGTTATAAGTAATAATCATCATGAATATACGTTACTGTTTATCACCATTATTTTCTTGCACTTCGTTGTTGACAAAAAAGGATAAAATGTGTAAAATGACAAACAGTCTTGAAAGACTCCAATTAAATTCAGACACTGTGTTAGGGAAATTGAACCACCAAAAAACTGCATAAACAATTAAGATTCTTTTTTCATGATTTTGTAGAAAGTTTTGACCTATTAGCAACAGTGAAAAGCATACTCTACAGTTTGAAAAACTATACTTTTTTGTTATTTCACATTTTACTGGAATATGTAAGGATTTTCTTTTTTTAAAATGAAAATAAAAAAAACATACGGCAGACTTTGTGACGGCGTCTGAGAACCAAAAGGGGTGGGGGGAGGGGAGGGTTTGGGGGTCAGGACAGCCTATGGATCCTGTCAGTTGCATTTATCTTCTGACTGCACTTCCAATTTAGTTATCATATTTACCTGCTGTCTGCATCGGTGGCAAGCTCTGATCGTCCGCCAAATCTCACCTGACACTGTAATTACAGGAAACCATTGAGGTAAACCTTAAACGTATGGAAGCATTTTTGAAACAATGGCTGACTGACACTCACTGCAGAGTGAGGATGGAGAACAAGGTGTGTGCACGTTATGTCATTGTTAGCAATATTCAAGCCAAGCCTGATCACCTGGTCTGCTTCAGCAAATTCTGAATGTACCAAATCAACATATGCTTAAGAGGCAAATAAAAATTTTATTTCATGATTTCTTGGCTCAACAGAATGCTTTTCTTTGTTTCTTTTTTTAATGCTGCACACTGCAATATTCCAACTTAATGACAGTGGTTTGAAAAAAATCAATCAGGACCAGATGAACCAGTGATTGATATCATGAGCTTTGATCCATGCCGTCAGGGTAAGATGACCTGCTATCCACCAGGTCACCTACTGTGACAACCTGATTCATGAAGTCACCTTGTACAGCAAGCATACATAGCTAGGGCCTATTCTAACCCGGAATCCCAGTGGGGCCCAACTGAATGCAAAATGATACAAAGGAATAAACAACTGACCTGTTTAACAGCATCAAGAAGTCGAGTAAGGAGATTCTGTCTTTCAGTGAAATGACAATCATCACCTGCAACATCAAAACAAAAACATTTTATTGAAGTAAATATAAGTTAGGTGCTAGTTGATCTGTTAAAACACACCCTGCCACACCTTGCATTGCTTAAATATAACTGCTGGGAACACCACGAACAAGCCCCACACTGTCTCATGTTAGCGATTATGGATCTTTGACAAAGGGAAGGAACATCTAATATGGTAGGTTCCATCTGTTCCTGGAATCCTAATTTTCAGCAAAATAACATATTTTAACAAACTACAGTAATGTTTTCCACAACCAAAATGAGGTAGGCAATGTATGAGGTTATACAATACCTCTTAGCATAAGGCCATGATAAACTCATTATTGATTTTCAGTTGGGTTTAGCACAGCTTTGAACAGTATTTCAGTTACATCACAGTGTGTCAGCTTGATGTGTGGGGAAAGCCTGAAGTCATGCAGGTCCTGGGCCCCATTCCTCAAAGCTATCTTAGAGCTAAGGTGATCGTAAGTCCCATACTGTAACATAGGTTTACGAACATCATAGCGCTAAGATCGCTTTAAGGAACGGGGCCCTGGACATTTACCACTTTGGTGAAACCCACAAGCATTGGTATGGTGCTGACAAACCTGGAAACATTATCGGGGAAGACCAGGGATTTGAACCCACGAGCAAATTGCAATGGCTTAGACGACTGTTGCCACCATTGTCTCAACCTACAGTTGAAAATAATGGCTGTGTGTGTTGCCTTTACTTGATGAAATACATTACATACATAGTCCTACCAAACAATCATTCTTCAAGTGAAAAATATCTATCCACAGTTGAATAGATTTAAAAAACATATATATATGTTTTTTAAATCTATTCAATCTGTGTACATTAACTGCGGAAATATATATATATATATATAAAAACATAAAATATTTATATGCCCCACCTCTCATTTCTAAAATCTAATAACTATCTGTTTGTGGCCTTATGTTCCTGAGGGTGAAAGACATAGATAAAATAAGCCTTTCACAAAAGCCTCTTGGCATTACCAGAGACCATATAATCTATTATATTGTCTCTGGCGTTACAACCATGAAGGGAACAGCCTCCTGGTTAATACACATCCATGCCTCAAACATGCTGAAGGGGCGGTCGGGTAGCCTAGTGGTTAAAGCGTTGGCTAGTCACGCCGAAGACCCGGGTTCGATTCCCGACATGGGTACAATGTGTGAAGCCCATTTCTGGTGTCCCCCGCCGTGATATTGCTGGAATATTGCTAAAAGCGGCGTAAAAAACCATACTCGCTCACTCACTCACTCAAACATGCTGAACATTTAGCATATTGTTGAGCACGATTAAGGCATTATACAAACTAGTCTGAATGAATCATTCAGTTAACAGCTTGAAGTAATGTGTCAGGATAAACAAAATCAATATCATTAACAGGAAAAACGAGATTTGTCAACTGTCACATTACATAATCTACTACAGCTGGAAACTAATCATCCTTGGAACCACAGTATTATGCAATTCATGATAGTCATTTGTGATTCCTTGATTAACAATACATGATAACAAGTCTGCTCAAGCACCTAACTCGACTCAAAGATCATGACTGTGTTTGTAATTATTGGACTAAGTTTCTGCAACAATCTAACTTCACTAATGGATTGGAACCAGTCACTCAAATTGTCTTTTAAGACAATGCCACTTAAAATTGCTGGGCAGCAGAGCCCATGGTCTTATGTTGCTCTCTGCTTGTCTTAGACAAAGTGCAAAACTTAAAATTCAGGATTCCCTAGATTCAATGTTTCCGCTCCAACACTCTAACTTCTTCCCGAGGCAAGAGAGTTAACTGATTTTCAAAGTCCAGTTTCCACCCTTGCCGAACTAGGCTGGAATTCCTGGGCTGGATCGTAGCACCACCAGTGGCTATTACCAGTGATGTCCCTTCTAAGCCTCTCCTATGGACCAATCAGATTCCACCTCTCATATCACTTGCATTTGCTTCAAACAAAATGGCAGCTCCCAGTCAGGACGATCTGATCGATAATCAAGATCTATATTGTGATAAAACATCGCGAAATGCATCAAATCATGTGAGCACTTTGATAAAAACATGAAAAGATTTAGAAAATATCTGTTGACAACAAGTTGGCGGTCAACATGATTTGCAATTCCTGCAATCGAAGGAAAGTTTACGATTTCGTTGCGCAAATTTGATTGGACTATGCATAGACTAGTTAGTCCAGCCAAAATGTAACTCCATAATACCAGCCTAGTTTGGCAAGGGTGGAAACTGGACATTTGTAAGGATAGCGTGTCCTGTGTCATGTGAAAACCAACAGTTAGAATCACAGGACATCTTGTGCAGTGGAATATTGACTACTGCTAATAATATAGGAGCAAAGATCCATGAACTTCCCTTTTTTTTGAAAACTGCTATGTAGTGTAATGCAGAATTTGAAATTAATCATGAGTGAGTTGGGTTTAACAAAGCTTTGAAACATGTTGAGCAGTATTCCAGTTACATCATGGCATTTCAGCTCAATGTGGGTGGAAAAACCTGTAGTGTTGCAGATCTCTATTGTTTATACCACTTTGGAAAAACACATGGTGCTGCCAACCTAGACACATAATCAAGGCGAACTGGGATTCATAGGTTTCTGGAGTGCCCAAGGGATGCAACTCTGCACATAAAATTGTTGTGCCCTAGACGACTTGGCCACTTGTGCCCCTGACATTAAGAATGAACATTAAGAAGTCCATGCCATATAATATCAAAGAAAGAATTGGAGGTTCCTGGATTAAAATATGAACACTTAATCTCTAACAATGTACGAAATGCAGGCATTACACATACATGAATTCCACTGCAGTGAATAGTTGTAAAAAAGATGTGACATCTCACTTATTGTCAATTAGACATACATCACTGTTGTGAGTTTATGGGAGATGTTGTGCACTTGGGGCAGCACACAAACAGATACAAATTAGAAATCACCTGAAACAGCATTTCAAGCAGAATTCTTTTCAAATCAATGTCTACTCAGTGGTGTAAAAATATCCAATTCATATACTGCATCCAAAGAGGTATAAAAAAGAAAACGATCAAATACCCAATGTGAATGAAAGCAAGTGAGTAAATACTCAAAGGCTAAAATATTTATCTGGAGCCCTGATGAACCACTCATGCTGTCAGATTAACCTTTAACATCTCAAACAAGAATTAATCCTGTTTAGTGCCCGTAAATATTTCCAAACTCCACAGGATCAATTGCCTGTTGTAAACATCAATATAACACTGCACATATTTATATAGTTCTTTTGTTACCCTTCTGTGTAAAGTAAGCCAGTTAACATATTATCAAATACTATCTGTGCCAATAAGCTGTGGTGCACATTGTACAAAGGTCTACAGAACAATATGGAAATAACTCTTTATATTAAGAATATATGAACAATACAAGAGTACACAGCATAGACAATGAATGAAATAGATTAAGTCTCTAGGTTAGTGTAACTGGCACAGACTGATAACAATGCTAACTGACAGTAAGATTCAACAAGCTTGTCAGATATTGTGATAACCTATTAATCATGTGATTAGCAATACTTTATGGTTAAAGGAATCTACAGGTTTGATCTCAGCATTATATTAGCTAGACAACACTTTTAACTACACTGTATGATAATCAAGTTTTTTATTTTGTCAAAGAAATATATAGATTTAATTAGCTTTCTTTTTGCATGCTAGTTAACGACTGTTAAGACGATGCATAAACTCATATGAATAGGAACGAATACATCGGTAGCCCTGTAATTTCCTGTTCACAAACAAGTGGCCGAAGATAAATGTCTATTTTGTTTATTAAGATGTATACAAAATATGAAATGTACATGATAAATGATAAGCCAGATATCTGTAGAGAGCTATTCACTAGCAAAAGACGTACACAGAATGATCTCATATGATTCTACTCTCTTTAATTGCTTAGGTTATCTGCAAAATGATCATACGTTTACTGATCGCATTAGTTTCAGGATTGACCTTACGTCTAAATACATTATGCGACTGACGTTTTACGTACCATTCATGATCTTTCAAACCAAACAGCTGCCCGAGTGACAGTTCGTGTCATATTTATCTTTCAATCGCTGTGTTTACACCCTCATTCTCCTCCTCAAAAACAACTCGGGAACCTCCGACTTTGGCAGGTGCTCGGAGATCACATGACTCGAACTTCCGGTATTATAGAGTTCTTTCCCTTAGAAGGTAGGCTGACATGTTGGTTCTATATGAAATTGTTGTGATTTTAAATCAATCAACATCTGAGTAATTGTAAACATTTGATTAATCATGTTTGAGAAATACGAAGTTAAGACATTGTAATTTGATACTAACGTTTCATTATGTCTATCCTTATTATGGCTTTCTTGAATTTTCAGATTAAAGATGGGGCGGCGACCAGCCCGTTGGTACGTGTATAGATAACATGCCGTGGACTCTGTCCCAATGTATATTGCATTGCTTTCTGAATTTGTTGTTTGTCAGTCAAAAGCATGGATAAAGAAGAAATTTATATGCGACCCCTATAGCCTACCCAACAGTCAAAATATTACTTCTAGATTCATCGACGATAGTGTTCTTGGAATATTCTGAACTATTCTTTAAAAAAAGTTACTCTCATGGTGATTCGGCATTATTCAGTATAAACATTACACGTAATCTTTGGATGCTAAAATACACACACGATTTGTATTTTTGGAATGTATTCCCCCACAATTGATAGCCTTGACTAGCTTGACAAGCTGTACCTTTTTGTCCATCAAACTTGTCAAGATCTTAACAAGACAATCAACAGCACTGAAGCTTAGATCTTTTCCTGGGAGCACTTGGATCATGACAATATTTCTCTTGGTGCAATTTCAAACTTTAAGGAGCCACATTGATTTAGGCTTACAAAGATCTTTTTATTTTAAAAATTAAATAAGACAAGTTAGAAAAGAATATGTGGATGAACAACTTCGTTATTACAATTATGGAGATCTAAGCTTCAGTGCTGTTGATTGTCTTATTAAGATCTTGACAAGTTTGATGGACAAAAAGGTACAGCTTGTCAAGCTAGTCAAGGCTATCAATGTGGGGGAATACATTCCAAAAATACAAATCGTGTGTGTATTTTAGCATCCAAAGATTACTTGTAATGTTTATACTGAATTATGCCGAATCACCATGAGAGTTAACTTTTTTTAAAGAATAGTTCAGAATATTCCAAGAACACTTTCATCGATGAATCTAGAAGTAATATTTTGACTGTTGGATATATATCTTATTCCCACTTAGTACACCAATTCTCCCATTTCTTAATGCCTTTCAAAGAAGTTAAGACAGACAAGATTGAAAACATTCCAATTGTTCTAATGTGTCTGAACAACAAACATTGAAGACTTGCTAAAAGTCTTTTAGAACTGCTGGCAGTATTAGCCGTAGTTGTCATTCATGTCATCATTCTGTGATGGACAGCCCGCCGTGATATTGCTGGAATATTGCTGAAAGCGGCATAAAACCATACTCACTCACTGTGATTGACAGTTTGGTTTTGAGATGGTTCTTGGAAACATGTAAAAAATATTCTTCTATCATTTGAACATGTCACCGTTGTGGAATTTAACTGAGAAATGTACATATGACCAGAAATACGTAGATTGTAGCATGACAGATGATAGCATCAGAAGTAAGAAGGGCTTCAGTGTCCTGCAAGGTGTTAAAACTACACTCTGCCGATAAAGGCGAGCAATGTTCTACTCCCGTTTCTTTCAACATGTTCAATATGTGAAATATTTTAGTCGCCAAGCTAATTTTGTTAATGGGCGCCAACTGACAACCAAGCAAGAAGTGCAGGTCTCAGAATGGCAATATGGGTTGCAAATGCGACCAAATTGGTTGCTACTTGGAGTACTCATCAGTGCAAGTGATTGGTGGTTATATCATAAGATACATTTGCAATCCACACCTGCCAATGTACCCACACCTGTAGACCAGTTAGCACCTTCAGAGGCTTGCCTATCAACGATCAAGTATGCTAACTGGCTCCAGTCAAGAGTGTTTAGCATGTTAAATGTGTCATGAGGGCTATTAGAATTTTGGCTTTTGTGTCCTTAGTGTTTCAGGTTAAATTGCGTCCCTGTCTATGTGAAAGACAAACACTTGTGAACATGCATATTTGTAATGAACAGACATGTTAGTGGTGTGCAATACTATTGATTGACCACAATACGGATGTGAAACAATATGCTTTGTGCAATGTGGCAGTAGAGATTGTGATTTTCACTGACAAACTTAAACAATCTCTATTGCCACATAACATTTGTAGTACTTAATGAAGGCGATATTCTACAGGAAGATACTGTTAATTTTTGTTTAATTAACACATCAATATCTATCTCATGTATGAAAAAGCTGTGTCAGTATTTAGCCGTAGACATAGGTTAGTGTTCTGTCCTTTGTAGGGGGCGATGGGGTAGCCTACTGGTTAAAGTGTTTGCTGGTCATGCCTAAGGCCCGGATTCAATTCCCCACATGGGTAAAATGTGTGAAGCCCATTTCTGGATCCCCAACCATGATATTGCTGGAATATTGCTATAAGCGGCATAAAACCATACTCACTGACTGTTCTTTGTATTTCTTTTCCTAGAAACTTCTGTGATTTTGTCTCTATACAAGATTTGATCCTTTCCAATGGCATTACCATGACAAAGCTTTATTTCCTAATTTTTGAGAGGTATCGTACAAGTCTTGGAAAGGCAGGTGTTTGCTAAATAATGCTTTCAACAAGTGAATTCATGTTTCAGCTACCGCTACTGTAAAAACAAGCCGTATCCCAAGTCACGGTTTTGCCGTGGTGTCCCAGGTAAGGAAAACATTTTGGCCTAGAATTTAGAAGACATGCCAAATGGTCCAATGTCTGATAATAATTTGTTTTATTCCCATTGTCCACAACTATTCAAATAGTCAAATTCAACCTATGCAAATCTTAAATGAAGACCAAATGGTTTGGGTTGTCCGACATTGTGACCTGGTTGATGGCATGCCAGCGAACCCGTGAAGATACGGGTTAGACTAGGTCTTCAGGAACTCATGCTTGCTGAAAGACAATTATGTTAGATGTAAGAGGCAACTAACAGATCGGGTGGTCATGCTCGCTTACTTGGTTGATGCATGTCATTGTATCCCAATTGTGTAGAGCAATGCTCATGATCTCAATCACTGGATTGTCTGGTCCAGACTGGATTATTTACTTACATACATTATTTAACTGGATGTATACAATGGTATAAGGACTTTGTGTAAGTAACACACTGGATCAGTTGATAATGAATATCAACAGACAACCCGAAGATTAAGTTGACAAATTAGAATGTCACTGCTTTTATCATACTACAAATAATTGATCAACTTCTATCTTTCAGATCCAAAGATCCGAATCTTTGATTTGGGCAGAAAGAAGGCTCGTGTTGATGAGTTCCCTCTCTGCATCCACTTGATCTCCGATGAGTATGAACAGCTGTCATCGGAAGCTCTGGAGGCTGGACGTATCTGCGCCAACAAGTACCTGGTGAAGATCTGCGGCAAGGATTCCTTCCACTTACGTGTGCGCTTACATCCCTTCCACGTCATCAGGATCAACAAGATGTTGTCCTGTGCCGGTGCTGATCGGTGAGTCATAGCTTTATGGCAGTCGGGTAGCTTAGAGGTTAAAGCATTTACTTGTCAGTGAAGGCCTGGGTTTGATTCACCACATGAGTGTGTAGCCAGTCAACCGTTGCAATTTTATTGACATTTTAGCAAATCTTGATGGCCATGCAAGTTAAGGTGCGGTCATTGGTCTTATCTTCTTTTGTATGTTGTTACTTCCCTTTTGCTAAATCAATTGTCATTTTTAACATAAAATATTTTTAGTTTTGATTTTGAAAATTGTTGATGTGTTAAATTTCATTTGAATAGGCTTTGTACCTAACTCCTTTGTTGCAGTTGGCCATACTGATTTTGACAATTTACAAAAAGAAATTATATTACCAGTAAATGTATTTTTTATGTTGGAATATTCTAAATTAAAATGCTAGAAAAAATAGGAAATGTGAATTTGGAATGTATATGGAGGCAGTTGGCATAAAAGGTATAACACATGAACAGTTTTATATTTTAGAGATTGAAAGTAAAAGATTATGTAGTTCTTTCTCACTCACCATGCTTACTTAGGGGATAACCACAGTTTGATAAATATCAATGGATACCCAATCTCATTAATATCAGAAATCAGTTCTCGCTACCGCTAAACAAAGATCTGAGGACATCCCATAAGGCATGTTATGGGTCACGTCAGAACGACCTTTCATCCGACCAATCAGAGCATCGCTTACCAGATTATGAAAGTGACAGTCGGAATGTGATTTCTAATCATACAACCTTGAAAACTTTAACTCCGAACGATATTTACGGGTTTAACCACTGAGTCCATACAATCTACATCCATTTGCCATTCCAGAATGTTCTTTTGTTCAGGTTTCAAATTTGTAATCAAGAATTTGTCAAAATATGTTTCGAAGCGTAGTCGCCAATTTGAAATTAGTGCCTTAAAGAACGAGAAAGCTGCCTTCTGATTGCCCACGGTGTTCATGACGGAAGTGTACGATGCGCATGCACATAAGGGAGCTTACTGAAAATTAACCTGTATAATCATGAACTTGCATTTTGGATTAATGGAAACATTTTGAAGGTATTCGGCAAGCGTGTAACATTTAGCACATGGTAAAAATCCTATTTAAAATCACCTGATATACTGCACATTAAAAAAGATATTGTGATACGTATCGTGGATATGACGAATCTCAATTTACCGACATTCCTGTAATACTGTGCACCTTTGCTGTCCGTGTGTGCATCAGTCTGTGCAAGATGTTGTTTCTTGAGCAGATCTTTGAAACCATACAATATTTCTTCACCAAACTTCACACACAGATAGGTCTAGTGGGAACTGGAGCATAATGACGGTTTAATTATTTTTCTGAGTTTTTATGGCAAAACTTTGTCTGAAAATGGGGGTAGTTATACAATCAATATAACCAGTTGATGATTCACAACTTGCGGGGGATATCGATGACTTTGTCAGGGTTCGAAATTAAGGGACGCTAAGACGCAAAATGCGTCTTAATTTATGATTTTG